ATCTCACGGAGAAGGAAAACTGATTCAGTGGTTCCACACATACCTTTCTCGCTACCTCTAAAGTCTTCAATAGTTTATCTTCCTAAACCAAAGTTAGCACATTTGTGCAATTCTGTAATTCCTCACGTCGGTTATAAAACCACTACTGCAACTTGTTACGAATTTGTTCGATCATTGCGAGAATTGGTAACTTTCGATCCTTATAGAATAACGCATTGAGCGAATCCGCATTGCTCGACATCATCATGTTGTATCGACGTATTGGAAAATGTGATCATGCCCAATGTTCGATCCTCATCTCTGTTAGATAATCCCATGTGGCATGTGATTTACTTTTAACTTCGACCATGAACTTATCGAACTCTTCAAAACTGTAAGCCTTTGCAGCTCTCCTAAACAATGTAACGATGTCACTGCCCTGATACTTAGTCTTGAGATTGCCCTGTAAATGGTACATATAATAACCGTAATGTGCTTCAGGAAAGTTATCAGCGATACAATTTATTATTGATTGCCTGCAGTTAGTAACGAATGCAAGGTTCTTGACGTCCCCAATTACTTCCCTCAACTTCGTGAAGAACCAACGCATCACTAAATCATTATCTTCATCGACTATGTCGAATGCAAAAGAATAAATTTGAATATTGAGATCTTAACATGTTGCAATAATCAATTTGCCTTCACATCTAATGTTAAGACCATGTTCGATAACCATTATTTTCCTTAGAACTAGGAAAAAAAATTTCCATTTCCATGCAAAGTAGGTGTTTGATAGGACAAATTTGGCCAAGAAAATATTTTCCCCCCACCCACACCCCAGTTTTCCTCTAAATTGGTGAAAAAGCTTTCCTACCAGCATTTTCAATGTTCTGCCAATTTTTTTTTTTAAACTTTTTGACAATGTTAACAAATTTCATAACCTAAAAAAAATTTCATTTTAATGGACAATTTCCATATAAAACGAAATCAAACGAACACTAAACTTTGATGAAAAAATAGTTTTTAAGCAAAATTTTTTTTTTGGCAATGTTAACAAATTTCATAACTAATTGTAAAAAAAAAAAATTCATTTTAATGGATAATTTTCATGTAAAATAAAGCCAAACGTGAACAAAAAAAAATCCAAAATTTCAAAAAAATTTCGGGTGGAAATTTATACCAATCAAACACACTTAATTAACAATTCACTGTAAAACAATTTTTAATCAATTACTTTCCCTGAAAATCATTTTCTTTCCATCAATTTTCCACCATTGCAATCAAATGCACCCTAAGGGTTGTAATGTCAACTAGAATTAGGGGTCACATGACATTTCGAAATCCTCGAATGCATTGTTCAAAGATTATGAAGAAATACTTGAAGTGATTCTCACCCTCTGTCTCAATAAAAAATGCTGATCTAAGATTAGTTTTCCCCATGTTATTACAATATCTGTCCAATTTAGTATAACTCTCCACATCTCAACCCATTAAATCCTCTGATGCACATTTTTTGGCCTTCCAGGCCTTCTGATAGCTCATGACCATCTCATACTCTGAACAGATGTCATTAATGATATCCGGAGGTTTGTAGATCATTCGTGGGTCCTGAAACTTGTACATTATTTGTCAACTAATGAACCATGCTCGGGTTTGCCTATGATCATTTCGACGAATACCCACTTCGCAACTATGTTTTCGTGCATACTTACGAATTACAAAGAACTCATTCGTGTCCACTTTCATTGCTCGTAACGCCAATGGCAGCTGTTGTCAATGTAGATAATTGTGTACGCCGACTTGTTTGATTTCTTCACTTTAAACTTAAAATTGTGTTTCAAAACAATCCGGTGCACAGCTTCCTACAAATCTTTCGTTGTTTCAAACAGTTGCTCGACATATAAATCATCATCATCAAGAACTACACGTGGACAATCAGAGGTTTGTGTACTCGTTCTAGCCTATGAGTTCCCACCCGACACATGTCTTCGACGGGATAAAGCCATCAAATTCTCATTTGTAAATTCATTTTCATTCTTGTTGTCTTGAGCTATTAAGAAAATTACAAGTGTAGTTGTGAGATCATGGTGATGAATAACTGTATGGGGAATAACCACATCATCCTTACGTGTTATCTCCACTGTGTCCCAAAAATCATTCACATTGCGATCTCCTCCATCGAGATCTTCGTGTTCACTCTAGAGAACATTCTTCCTCACTAAAGTTAAGCAAATAGGAGTAGTCGTGCGATTTTTATTCAATTCAATTAAAATCTAGATTTCATTTTCAGAAGTAACCTTTACAGATGGAATTGAAATGGATATATGCTTGTTGATTAATAGAAATCCCAATTCCATGACGTACTAAGAGGGATCGACGTTGAGCTTGTTCTGTATATCATGGTACAGTTCTGCATATGATGTATTCGATGTCATCACAATTGCAATAACACCACGTCTTTCACTTTTCCATTTCCAGACCAATCGACTATTTTCATTCATTTCAAATTTACCAAAGTAACAAGCCGGTACTGCAGCCGATTCCATATCTGCATTAGGAAACATGATTTGTTAAAAAATTATAATTACGGGGGAAAATGGGGTAAAAAAGCTGGCTAGGTCGGTTGGAAACAGGCGGCCTAACCATCCAGCAGACGGCCGGGATGACTATTTCTAGTCAGCAGTTTTCAGTTTGGGTTGGCAATTTTACGTATTTACATATTTTTTAGTCGACCGTTTTCTAGTCAGCCAGTGTATTTACGTATTTTTTTCACGTTTTTGTTAAAAAAACATTATAGATCCGTTTAAGATAGTAATTTTTTTATATGCCGATGTCGAAAAAAGATTTAAATATTAAAACAATGTATCAATTTAACGAAAACGAAATTAAAAATACGTAAAGATACTTACTGATTCTAAGTGATGGTTATAAATAATATTTTCTTATTAAGCGTTTGATAAATTTATGAGATTTCATGTTTGAAACAGAAGAAAAATGAAACAGTTTTTATATGTGTTGGAATAAATAGATAAAGAAAGTAATTTGATTTTGAAATTTTAAATGGAAAATGTTTGGAATTGGGTCAGTTCGGTTCTAAAGAGAACCGAACTGAGCCCAAAACTTTCTGATATTTAATAAATGGAACCGTCAGGTTTAAATATAATTATGGAATTATTCGGGTTCGGTTCCGTACCATAATTAAATTTTTTTAATATTTACAATAACACTACGTAAATACAACTAATGGCATTTCATTCGTAACTTATACAAATTAACGTAGCCCAATTCAAAAATATATAAATAACTAATTGTCTAATAAGATTAATTCAATGCATACAAATACCAAAAAATAGATAATAATATTACAGTACACTATATAAAGTATATTCATTTACTGCAAATTAAAATGGGCTAATGGGCTTTAAGAATGATTTGGGTTTTAAAATTAAAATTATGAAATAATCTGATTAATTTAATTAATTTGCTAATTTGTNNTAATTAATTTGCTAATTTTTTTAAAAAAATAAAATAATTTAATTAATTCAATATAAAAAATAAAAAAATTATTTAGTTTCGGTTCTTATTCGGTTCTTCGGTTCTTGGTCTAAACCCGAGACCCGACCCAAACCCATGGGTTCTCGATTCGGGTACTCGTTCGGATATTTAATTTATGAAGAACCGCTCGATTCGATTCGATTCGGTTCGGTTCGGTTCGGTTCGGGTCCTATTCGATTCGGTTTGGTTCAAGACTTTTGGACACCCCTAAAATTCTTTATAACTTAAAAATTGTATTATTGTCTTTTAATACCATATTTTTATAATTGTATAACATACATAATGGTAATTTTGTCTCTTACGCATTAAAATGTCATTGTGGTGAATGAGTAAAAATTTTGATCAAAGTGGAAAATGGCCATGTTGACGTGGCCATTATGAAAAGTACCCCTTAAGAAGTCATTTTATGGTTTAAAACAGTCCCTAGGTACAGTTATGAGAAATTCTATTTTTATATTCTAAATATTGCCAGGTCACAAAATTCAATATTGAATTCGAAGTAAAGGACATAGCTGAGTAGAAGAATTCTTGGCGTGGATATTCCAAGAGTAACAAATCTAGAAAAAAATTTCTCAGTGAAGTACTTAAAAATCTAAAAGATAGAAGAATTGGCTCATGTTTGATTCCCTTTACTTTAATTTATTTTCTCCACACATTCACACAATAAAATATTTTATACGTAAACTCAAAGCTTTTCATTAATTTTCAACCACAAATTTTCTGAAAAAAATACTATTCAAAACTATGTTTTTTAAATTTTAAAGCCTCCAACCACAGGCTTAGTAACATTAGATTTAAGAACTACTTTCAGTTGTCTTCTAAACGATCTACCAGATAGAAGTAGTAGTGGATAGAATGGGAAAAATATGTTATGCAAATATAATGGAATTAATCATGTACATAATGGTTTGTACAAGAGTTGATCTTGTACATGCAACGAGTGCCCTACATCTTGGGTATCCACGAGAAATTCAATAGAATGCCATGAAGCTGTTATTTAACCTAGGATTGGAGTTGAAACAAAGGAAGAAAGGTATAGTACTTAAATGTTTAAAAGTTGCATATAATAGAAAGTCCACATCTACTTATGTGTTTAACATTGATGATAGCTGCATTAGCTGGCAATGTCATCAACTGAAGTTGCTAGATGATATTTTAGGAATGGATTTGGCAAAGGGTATGCGTACTTTCCTTGTAATTTGTTAAGTTCACAGGTAGAGATACGTGTCAAGCCACCCATCTAGGCACAGGTGGTATTCAATATTAGAAACAAAATAAAGAATGCTCAAAGTGATAAATATTAGCTGTAGTTCCAATTAGATTCTAATTCATATTTTACACCAGAGAATTTTACCACACTATATCCAAAAGACAGATGATAACACTATAGCTTTTAGTGAGGGAAACTAATACAGAGAGAAAGAGAGAGAGCTGAAATTGTTGATCAAGAGACAACTAAGGGAGTTTTATTTTCCTGTGGGGTGCGTTTTCTTGGATAGAAACCTGTCGATAAAGGTTTGGAGTGTTGTGGCATCTGCCCTGTAGTGGTTTTGGGTGAATTCTTGCAATTCCGACCATGTGAAATCAGGGTACTTCCTTGTCTCGCGAAGATCCTCCGGTGGCCTCACCACCTTGTCCTCTTTCGGGCTTACGAAAAACACCAACGATCTCCTTGCTTTCTCCTTGTTCACCACTGCTCTATGTAGGCAACTCTTGTATCTACCATTAGATAATGCCTGCATCATGTACGTAGACATGGTTAGGAAATACGTAATGTAATATCATATAGATTTATAGTTGTTAAGAGATAAAATTTCGCATCGATTAAAGATGAAAATATAGATCAATTTATAATGAATTGTGCTATTCCTCTTAATAAAGTTGACATTTTAAGTGGAAATCTAAAATCTTAACGTGATATCATAACCTATTAAACTTCAACAAGCAATTCGATCCGATTAAAACTAAAAAAAATGAACACGAAGATTTCGAGATTGGTTGCTAAAAATGAGCCACTATCTTACTGGGACACATTAAGAGATAAAATCTCACATCGATTAAAGATGAAAATATAGACCAATTTATAAGGGTTTGAACTATTCTTCTCGAAAGATTGACATTTTAAAATGGGACCTCAAATCAAAATAATAGTAATTCTCCCTCTGCACACCTTAGATTCTCACTACAAAGAAAAGGAAGTATAACGGTGATTTTAATCCTCTCATTCTATGAGTAATGAACTACATGTAGCGACACACAATTTAGGCTAAAAACTCAATTTTTTCATTAATTATGCTACATGAACATTAATGTTGACATAAAATTTGATATAATGACACGTGTCAATTTATTATTGGACATTTTAAAACACAATCAACTTTTCTATTCAGTCATTTACTGTCACATACAATTATGTCAAGATTTCTATTAAATCCTTCTGACAAAGTAACTTTATCATTTTTTTATTAAAAAAAATGCATGTGTAAAGCTTGTATATTTATCCTTCAAATGCTTTTTAGCGCACAAACAAATAGGTGTGCTAACGCACAACCGGGCCATCATAATAAATGCCATTTTACCGAAAATAGGAATTAAGCACATGGTTTACTACTCGTTACAGTGAATTCCAGTACTGAAAATTAATGCCGATTGATAAAAAAAAAACCCCAAAAATTACTTTTTAACTTTTCGTCGTTTAAAGTGAAATTTCTTGTGTATTGGACAATTTTTATGGTGTTTGTACTGTTGTGTGTCTTTTTGTGTATATATGAAGACAAATAAGTTTTTTGTTTTTTTATTAATGTTCTGTCCTCTTCAAGAGAAATAAGTCATTCATAGCCGTACCCTACATCAGATACTGCCAAGGTTATTTACTAGTTTATAACTCATACAGTACTGAAAAGGGATGGCCAATATGTTAAATTGGCTACAGAATACAACAAAAAGGTGGGCGCGGTTCCGTATTATCAGTGGTCCTTTAGACTATATATCACAATATGCTTAGCATAAATTAATTTGGCAGACTAGAACTGTCCCATCTTTGTTTTTCCTGATGAGCTGATATTCCAAATATCTAGCCATCCGGGCCAACATTGCATGCTAAAAATCCCAGGAGTGGTAAAAATGAGCAATTATTTGATTTATATGAATCATGCTACTATAACATAATCCTTGACACGATAATTGACATAATATCATATGACACTTCATCATCGAATTTTTTTTGAACATAGTCAACTTTTTAATCTAATCACATCTTGTCAACTAATATTATGTTATTTCATCTGTCAACTATTAGTAAAGTGGCATAACCCAATTTACATATGCTAGTAAACCACCAATTTGGTACAAATATTCATATTGATTTGAATAAACTGGGGATGAAGATTCATTGAAAACCCTAAATGTTTTAAAAGGAATAAGGCTTTTAGCAAAACATGGTATTCATTCTCTTTCCTATTTTTCATTCAATGGAGGTATGTATGTTTTATGTCCCCTACTACATGCACTTTACTTTTAGCTCTTGTTCGATTTTAATTTATTTGAAAGGAGTTTTGTGAAAAGTGATTTTTTTAGAATGTGTAGTTAAAAAGTAACAAAGTGATCCTCTTCCGAACCCTTTTATATCGCATTTCGTCTTAGTTAATCCACTCCAAACCCTCGCCATGATTGAAGTGATTTTGAAAAGATCAAAAAGTTGTAACCTCAAGAAGTTTAAACTTACCGTCAAGTAAATTAATTAAATTAGTGAATATGAACTGACATAAATATATTAAAGTCACATGTGCAATGAATTCACAAATAAAAAAGGATAAAACACGAATCAGAACATACCATGAATGTATCTCCAATGTTAACAACGAAGGCATTTGGGCGTGGCCTGATAGCTTGCCATTTGTTATTTGCAAAAACTTCGAGTCCTCCAACTTGATCTTGATGGAGTATTGTTATGGAATTTGGATCACAATGAGGACCAGTGCCAAAGGTTAGGCCAGCTTGGTTGCATGGTGGATAGTTATTGAACCTCATTATTGAACAACCATCTTCGAAAAATTTCCTATAGTATGATCCGTCAAGTCCCAAGCTAATTGACAGCAGTCCCAAGATTGCCAGAGACAATTTTTTCATCGCCTCACAATATTTGTGCAAAACATACCTGAGAAATTCAAGTGTTCACAAGTACTGCAATTTATTGACTATAATTTCAAGCACAAACATATTAATTTATACTAAAATTTGCTTACTTTGTACACAGTGTTATATTGATAGTTGTCAAGATGAAGGGTTAGACAAACCAATGTGTTCCTACAAATACAAATGCATACATAACTGATTCGTCGTATATCAAGTCTTACGACATCTATTTTTTTGCATACCACTTGGCTAATCATACATACATTGTTCATCATATTATATAACTGATATGTCCGATCACACAGAATTTGACAAGGCAACTGATGAGTTTTGTACAAGTATAAAATCATATCTGAGTCTAGTGTACTACACGTGCATTTAATCGGTTGTTTTGGGAATGTAGACTTGTTATTGAATTGTGATTACCGACATGACCTAAAATGATGGTCAGCTTAATTTATGTACAAATAAAAGCAGAACACTATATCTATTATTTATTAAAATGAGACACGACATTAATATTGAGTAATCTTACCCTGCCTCTTCAAAATCCTTCCCCAGAATAGATTTGAAATAGTTAACCAGATCAATTTCTGGGCCATTTACATAATCATATCCAAATGAAAATGTTTCCTTCCATGGCAATTTTGACGAATATCGATCAGAATGAGCAACCGAATAACCCCAGACACTACCTGGCTTTCGTTTAGCTAGTACCTTGCGGATCATCTGAAGCTTGAAGAAGGCTTCCATCTCATCATGTGCAGCCTGAATCACGTTAATATCCACAGCATGGTTGATAACTTGGAAGAATCCGTGGTTTAAACAAGCTGCCCTAATTTGTGAAGCTGCACGAATGGTTGCTTGTTCATCACCATCCAAGAATCCCTTTAGGTCTATGGGTGGCTCTTTGAGTTCGTCTTGAGTATAAACTAAGTCCTGATGAGGCCATAGGAATCTTGTTGGCAAGTTTGTTTGTTTTTGCAGAAGGGATAGTAGCCCACGTTCTTTATCATTTTTGACGTCAAATGGAGAACAAAGAATGAGGGTTGAGGCACTAGGATCCATGTTGTGAGGCACATGTTTAAGGAGTGGAATCAACATATAATATTTATAGAAGAATGAAGAGTATAATGGAGAAAGTGTCACAGAAGCTTCCTACAAGGGTTGTCAAGACAGTGTTTTCTGAGCTCAATTTCACGTTATCTTGCTCTACCAAACAACAATCCAAACGGATCTAACACACAACCAATATATTCACCTCGGTTACTCCTCAATCTCACCCACAAAGAACAAAATAATTGTGATGATTTGTAACCACAAAAGCAAGAAGAAAAACAATGAAAGACGGCAAGAAACGAGACCAAAAGTCAAAGGAAGTCACGCTTTTTTTTTTTTTCCTTTTTACCGAGAAAGAGGCAGCCGGTTTTCTCTCTTCTTGCACACGGTTTCTTTCTTCTCTTTTCACACAAATCACCCATTAAACGACTAGGACAAAAATACCATATAAATAGGCTAGGTTAGGCTTTTGTTGGACCCATAAAATGGATTAAATGTGCCAAAATTCAAAGTCATCCAAGAGATAATATAAATGGGTCATAAGAAACATTAATTATTTAGGGAAATTGCAAAAATTCAGGTGTTTAAAAATTAGTTTTTAAAAATCTGGCCTACAATTTTTTTAAATAAAAAATCAAGTGTTATAAAACCTAATTGAAACCCTAATTTATCACACTACTCCCTCCCTTCTCTCTCTCCCTCTCGCCTCGCCTCCCTCCCCCTCCAACAGCAACCACTACCATCCCCGTAAAACAATCACCCACTAAAAATCACCTACACACTAGAAACCTGCACAGCGACGTGGATTTCGCTCCTCGCCCTCTCTGTGAATGGCGTGATGTCGAGGACGCCGTATCGTTGCCACCACGAAAACAGCCTGGAGCCTCTTCGCGAGGAGACGTAGCGGCTGCGCTTGCGACGATCTGTACCGGTGCCTCTATATGCGATCTGCAACTACAATGACGATCTGCAATGGATCTTTGTTGGGGTGGTAGATATATGGGTGTGTGTGTTGTGGGTGTGTGTGTGTGTGCAGTGGCGTCACGACGGGTAGGGGTGTGGTGGCGGTGACGGTTTTTGGGATTTTTTGTTGGTGGTGGTTGTGGTGTGACGTGATTTGTTAATGGTGGTAGTGGTGGTGGCGACTGGAGATTCGATAGAGGTGGTGGTTGTGGTTTTTGTTGACAGTTGACTGGATCTGGTAGCGACGATTTGGTGGNACCTACACACTAGAAACCTGCACAGGGACGTGGATTTCGCTCCTCGCCTTCTCTGTGAATGGCGTGATGTCGAGGACGCCGTGCCGTTGCCACCACGAAAATTGCCCGGAGCCTCTTCGCGAGGAGACGTAGTAGCTGTACTTGTGGCGATCTGTACTGATGCCTCTATATGCGATCTGCAACTACAACGCCGATCTGCAATGGATCTTTGTTGGGGTGTTAGATATATGGGTATGTGTGCTGTGGGTGTGTGTGTGTGTGTGTGTGTGTGTGCGCAGTGGAGTTGCGACGGGTAGGGGTGTGGTGGCGGTGACAATTTTTGGGATTTTTTGTAGGTGGTGGTTGTGGTGTGACGTGATTTGTTAATGGTGGTAGTGGTGGTGGTTGGTGGTGGTGGCGACGGGAGATTCGATAGAGGTGGTGGTTGTGGTTTTTGTTGACAGTTGACTGGATCTAGTAGCGACGATTTGGTAGTGGTGATGTGGTGTTGGTTTCGGTGGTGGTGGTGACAGTGACGAGGATGGTGGTGGATCTGGCTGCGACGAAGATGGGGGTGGTAGTGTTGGTGACGGTGGTGTGTAACCAATTACTTGGTTATATGTGACC